TCTCTCGATCTTGATCTATTCGACCGATCTTTGCCTGAACGCGAAGACTTTGAGCCTGTAAGACGCTTTTCTTTACTGTCTCCACTAGTATACCGAGAACAATCAATGTTAACATTATTATTCCATTATCATATAAATTTTTGAGAAAAACTAAAAATCAAATATGATAGACTGAAAACCTTTATAGGAAAATTATAACATAAAAAATATTTAACCACATCTTATTCCAATTTTATAAAATCAAAAAATTATGCATATATACATAATTACCGTTTTCTATCGCGATCTCTATCCCTTTCAGAGCGATCTCTTCTATCCCTATCTCGATCTCTAGAACGACTCCTTCTCTCCCTGTGTCGTCCCTTATCACGTTCCCTATCCCTATCTCTACTCCTAGATCGCCGTCGTTTTTTTTCAGGAGTAGCAGAACGAGATCTTGAACGTGATCTTGATCGTCTTCTATGATGCCTATCCCTACGAAGTAATAGAATTAAATTGCTAAATATTGGATCAATGGGTATCGAATAATTGATATTGATAGAATTAATGGTTTCTAATAGCAAAGGTAATAAAATTAACCTAAAAAAAATAGCACAATAAAAGTAATTACACTTACTTGTCACTACTTCGAACCATGATCGACGATGGTACTTAATACGAAGAAAATACTGTTGTGAACTTAATTATTTCTCTTATAAGAACATTTGTCACTACTTTCTCCTAATTTTATCACAAAATATACAACATTTACCGTCGTTTACAAACGCAAATCCAAATTTCTCTTACTCTGTTCGATAGTGCTGCCACTTGATTGGAAACTCGAAGCGAAATATAGTTTTATAGTATGATAATACAGATTCGGTAATTAACCATTGAAGTTTATATCTAAAATAAATCTATCTTTCGTATAAAACATTAATTAATAATATTAATTATATATTTTTTGGAATTATACTATATAGTATATATAGTATTGCCTCTCATTGACTTATTATTCTAATTTATTCTAATTTATAGTTAAATAAAACTTGCAATATCAAATTAATAAAAATCATTTATACGAATTATATTCATCAATTACCACACATAACTTCTTTTTCTGCACTTTTTGTTTAAAGATTTTTAGAAATATATTTTCAGCACGAAAACTTAAACTTTAGATCTTTAGAAATAATTTAAAATATTTAAATGTTTTTCCCGATTAACATGTATTTAGAAGCATGTTTCGAAGTAATTCAGAAAATGGATGTTACAGCGCCATCCAGCGACAAGCAGACGGAACTAATCTTCATACAACAAAATAGAAAATTATAAATTTTTTCTATAACTTCTACGTAAAATTTTTTAACTTTTAAGAGCTTAAAATAAAAATCGGACTTATGAAAATAACTTGAGATTATTCCATCTATCTGATATTCAATCTCTCTTTACCTTATTTTTTAAAGAAATCTCTTCATCATTCGAGAAATGGCGCTAATGGCCAATTCTTGTCTTATCTTTATCCTTCTTCCACTAATTTCTCGTCTCTTTTTATATTCTTCATTTGCGGCATTCTGAAGATGGCGTTGATTCCCTAATTTTTACTTTATTTCTATCCTTCTCTTACTATTTACTCTCTTTGTCTATCCTTATTCCGTAAAATTTATACGATCAAGAGACGATATTGTTCCGATATTTGATTAATTTATCTTCTTTACCCATTGATTAAAAATCTTAACGAACTTTACTCGAACTCTATTCCAACTTTTATACGTTTCATGAATGTAAATACATATTTAAATTATTTAACAATGTATTCTTCTTGTTTTTTTTTTTTTTATATATAAAAAAATCTTCCAAAAATCCTTTTATTTCTAAAGTATAGAACGGATAAAAAGAAGATTAAAAATTATTTAACTCGTTAAATCGTACGTACGATCGCGTATGCTAATCGGTCAGAAAACTCGTAAAAGAAGCAGATGGTGAAGACTCGAAGGAAAGTTACTTAAGCAGGTGTAACGTCGAGCACGCGACAGGTGAACGTCGCGCTCGTGTGTTTTTCTCTGTATATTTTAAGGGATGACGCCAGAATTGGAAACGAAAGATCTAGAAACATGAGAGAGAGAAAAAGAAAAAGAAAAAGAAAAACAACGAGTTGTTGTAACTCAACAACTGAATGGAACAATCGTTATCTATCGGTAATGATAACTGTAAAATACTTGTATGCGATTTCCATTGAATCTTAAACGGAGAAAGACAAACGAGCACAGAATCCGGGATGGATTCACCCCGTATCACAGAGGCGAGCACAGAGGCGTGGAGAAGATGTTGTGCGTGCACGCGATAAAAATGACTCCCGCCTCGTTTGCTTTTTATGCTCGGTGCATATCGCGAGGCATCGGTTTTTCCCAGGACAACGAGATTTCCGATACGCCTCCTCTCTTCTATATAATCTACGTGGAGGACGACGAATAAATTTGCCAATGGAATACAAAGTAGCGTCCCTCCTCTATCGGGCTCTCCACTTAGTCGTGCGCCGAGCTTGAACAGCTTCTTCTCTCGAAAAGAAGGGAGGGAGGAGGGAGTGTCGTGTGAAACGATTTTCCACGATAAATTTTTATATATTCGACTTTTCGAACAGTAGGGAAAAATATTTGAATAAACGGAATTTTTCGTTCATCGAAGAATTCGCGATACATCCTTATAGAAAACGAAAACGTTCCTTTTGGCAGAAATCCCAATCGATCCTCGAATTCCTTACGAACAAAGAAATAATGCAGTCGGCGTTTGGTCGGTCGGCGTCGGTTGCGTGTACACGCGCATCTTTTCGTATAAAGGAATTCTCTCTCTTACAATAATACGATACCTGACCGAGAAATTCCGAGAAAATCGATTCCTTCTTTCGATTTCCTGTTCAATCCTCGATTCGAATCGAAGGTTTGTAAACCGTTTCACTTCGTACGTACGAGGAAAGTACGTACGAAGAAGTAGGAAGAAGAAGAAGAACAAGAGGAGGAGGAGGAGGAGGAGGAGTCTAACGAAATCTGTCCGAATCCATCTGGCCAAACTGGTTTTCGAGCATTCGATTAATTTGATCGAGTGACGATTCGATTTATTTTACTTTTTTCGGGGGCAATTAGCTAAAATTATTCCCTCCAACGTACACGAAAAACGCGCTCGCGTGTTGGATTTAATCTAAAAGTCAATATTGAAACGGGGGGGAGGGCAGATAGGAGCAAGAGGGATAAAAATTTTTTCCTTTCTTTTTTCCTCGAATATCAATACCGATTGTGATTACCTTCCCCGCTCGTATAAGTGTTCGGTATCGAACCACGTCGAATCGACAATGAACGAACGAAGATCGTTCTGTACTCTTCCTTTGTGGAGTATAAAGTGTCAGTCGCAGGAAGTAACTTGATACAGTTGACTTCCGACGTGCGCGTGCGGACGCTTAGCAAATGATAATGCTTTTTTACACGCTCGTTGATAAATGAGAATTATTACTTTTCATTGACGTCAAATAATATCTATTCGTCTATTGTTTAATTAAATAAACGGAACGATGAAATTTCCAAGACCAGATCTCTTCTTAAAATATATATATAATATTCCAGATACGAAAGAAACTTAAATACGAAACGCGAGATAAAAATATTTCGAACGGGAAAAATGTTTGAAGTTGTTTCCTTCCAATAAAATATATAAAATTTCCTCCCCTCAAAAATAAAAAAAAAAAAAAAAAATATGGTGAGCACCACTGTCGAGCAGAAGGGCGCGTGCCAAGAGTTCACATCTGCCGCAGTTGTTTTCGCATCCCCTCGGTCTCTTTCTGGAACACCACCGCTGATAAATGCGTCTCCGGTTTCAGAGAGAGAAAAAAAAAAAAGAAGGCTTCCGCAGGAAGCAGTACCAAAACCTTTCCATCGCGATCTTTTTCCGTTTCCTCCCTCCCGTGACCGTAAAGA